GTAGATCATACATCTCGACAGCTGCTGCCACTGTCTGATGTAGTAAGTCGTACTTTCTTTTCTTTACCTCTGGTCGACCAAGCTGCACATTCACCATGGTTAACTTATGACATGCAAGGTCCCTCATTAAGCCATCAAACAGAAACCACACACTTGGATGGCTACAGTTGAAAACAGAATTTAGAGCATTGTGAAAGCCCTCACAGCAATTTGTGGTTTTCTGTGACTGATCTAAGGCAGCCTCATAGTGATTCCACGTTGATATGGGAAATAAGGGATCTCTACCAACAACCCCTTCAATATATGTTGAAAAAAAATATGTTAAAATGTCATTATATCTTGCTTCATTTGGGAAAGTTCCTGCTAATCTGTCAAATATATCCCTTACATCATTGACTGGCACAAATGCCAAAGCTGCAAGAGATTTTAAGGTCAGCTTGACTTCTATGTTGCTTTCATATTCAGTCTTTAAGCCGACACAGTTGATCTTTCTCAGTAGGCTTTGACAGAGATGAAAATAGCATCCTTTAATAGCAGCATCTGGGAAAGCAATTTGTGCTGCATTCATACATGCTTTTTCAAAGTCAACCAAAACTTTTTGTGGAGCTATGTTTGGAACTAATTCTTTCAGTATTTCCAACATCCTCGTGTAAGTTTCTTGATTCTTTTTTAGAAGTAAAAAGTAAACACATGGTGGGTATGAGTTTCCTATTTTGGCATGCCAAGTGTAGAGTTGGTAGAATACGGCTGGTACTTTGTCAAATGTTCCATCACCATAAATGGTATCTTTGCAGAGTTCTAAAAGAACCTCTCGATCTCCTAGTGCCAGAATTCTTTCTGGATCATTTGACCCAGTGTCATAGAGAACAAAAGATGTATATTTATCTGGTATGTCAAAGCTGGGTGACGTAGGATTAATAATTATTCTGCTGGTTTTGTGGTAATTTAGGCTTCTAGACAGTGATGATGGCTTAGGTATGTGGGCTAGCACATCATTGCTGATTCCTGTTAAAGCTTCACCAATAACATTACGAGGGGTTGAAACTAAATTTTTAATATCTCTCCTCATTCTGCTTCTAATAATGTTAGCATCTGCCTTTTGAGGACAAGAATCGTGAGAATGATCTGTTGGTTCTTGTATTATGATGCCATCTTTAAGTTTCATGGTGGAATGACAGTTTGTTGCACGGTTCTGTCTGCACCGCCATGTCACAATGCCGTTGTACGTACGAGAGGTGAGATACTCGAATCCCAAGTACTTGATCACGTCATTGTTTTTTTGACTTTTTGAAAATTCCATTTCCTAACAATATGAAATTTTAAAAACGTGTTTAAATAATAAATATGTACAGTTTAATTAAATAATAGCAGATAAATATAAATCAATATTCTTTTTATAACATTTAAGCTGAGAATGAATCTTATTTGTGAATACTAAAAACACTAACTCTGTAGACTACACTAAGTATATAGTAAGAAAAGTAGGTCATGTATGATGTGTACATACTAGGCCTTTTGCAGCTTTAAATAATAATAATAATAATAACAATAATACTATACCATTAAAAGATACTATATTAAAAAGATACAATCTTGAAATATATTGTATACTCACCAAAAAGATAATGGAAAAACAGCCGTGTATTCTAAAAGAATTATAGATTCTAACACAAACAATGGAATGAAAGCGTTTTCTTCTGTCAGTATGAACATTAAACATGTATTCAAATCTGGCGCGCGGAAAAAGAAAAGTATGGGCGACGGTCGTTAGTTTCGTAAACTGCACGAGATATCATATTTTTAATGAAAATTCATTGACATATGTTACATCTTTTGCGACAGCCTTAATTAGTGCGTTGGGCTTGTATGAAAACTCACTTCGAACTAAATCAATTACATGCTACTTATTTTAACATGACAAAGTAAGCGTCACCCAACTGTTGTGATGTGAGGTGAGGACAGGGTCGACAATTAACCAACACGAAGTCTGTATACAATTAACGTCTTTATTGTTTGAAAGTACGAACGAGACATAGACTGCCTATTAGAGAATGGACCCCCAAACTTTCCTAACCCCACCTTTTATTTCTACCTAACCTCTAAGTTTTCTGCGCTTTATGTCACTTCCATACCAATCATTTCTATGCTACACAAGACGTTTGTACTATTTATTTACATTCTTTAATCTCAATATAACTAAAATAGACTATAGTTTGAAGGGTAATGAAAACATGTAAACAAATAGGACGCTACTCTAAATCTACACAAATACTTATATGTAACAATCCTAACACCAACGAAAGCATGTATTGAACAGCATAATGGACAGAATGTACCCTATATAAAAGAAGTGCTATGGTTGTTGATATCATTTTGCATTCGTCCGGTAAACATTTTCAGTAAAAGAACTTCAAAAACCTTCCATAACCTTTTTATCAAAAAACAAAAGGAGAGATGTAGTTTTATTGTAACACCAGGCTTTGACTCGGACCTATTTCAATGGTGTCTACATTGTTAAACTGATTAACTATTTGATGTAGGGCTCAATTGGCTCAGTAGGAAATGTGCATAATCTAAAAATATAAATTCCATTTCTTTCGGGGGGGGGGGGGGGGTAGACATTAGACTCTCTTCGGGCCGAGACCCCCCCCCCCCCACCCCCGAACAGATGTCTGTATAAAACTCTCATCTACACAAACACCCAACCACCTAATTACCCACACGCGCACATCTTCCCACACACCCACCAAACAATCTACCTACCCACGAACCCACCAACTAATCCACCTACCTACCCGTGAATATACATATATATATATATATATATATATATATATATATATATATATATATATATATATATATATATATATATATATATATATATATATATATATATATATATATATATATATATATATATATGTATATATATGAGGTTATATGTATATATATAATTGGGTAGGTAAGTAGGTGGGTAGGTAGGTAGGTAGGTACGTAGGTAGGTAGGTAGGTAGGTAGGTAGGTAGGTAGGTAGGTACGTAGGTAGGTAGGTAGGTAGGTAGGTAGGGACGTAGATAAGTAGGTAGGTACGTAATTAGGTAGGTACGTAAATAGGTAGGTACGTAGGTAGGTAGGTTGGTTGGTTGGTTGGTTGGTTGGTTGGTTGGTTGGTTGGTTGGTTGGTTGGTTGGTTGGTAGGTAGGTAGATATAGGTACATCATGATGAAAAAAAATTAAATACATAATGATTCTGATGTGTGTTTTATCAGGGTATTTTTGTGCGAATGAATGTTGGTGCGACAGATATAGCGCATGCATGTTTGATGACTCGGAAGAAAGAGAGTGAAGTTTTGCGATAGAAACGGGTTGTTATAGAATGCAAGCTTGGGACTAGGGAGCATGTACGAGATACTCCGTGTAATGCCAATATCAAGGATAGTTTTATGTTTATTTATTCGAGAATAGTCGTTGAATAAATAGTGAACAAGAAAAAAATAGACGTTGTGTCAAGCGATTATCGCCTGTATCGTGGTGATGTGAATGCACATGGTAGTGGTATGCTTTAAGTGGTAGTATATCGCGTCAGGTCAAACACAACACTCTCACAGCAGCCCTAACAATCATGTATAAATGTGTCATCTAGTCCTTATAGGTCTTTGTGCGAAAATAGCTCTTTGTGCATTTTTCGGTGTGCACAGTTTTCTGTGTGTGCTTTTTTCTGTTTGCGTTTTTTTTCTTTTTTTGCGTTTTTTTCCGTTGCGCTTTTTGTCGTTGCGCTTTTTTCAGTTTGCGTTTTTTTCCGTTTGCGCTTTTTTCTGTGTGCGCTTTTTTCCGTTTGCGCTTTTTTCTGTTTGCGCTTTTTTCTGTGTGCGCTTTTTTCTCTTTGCGCTTTTTTCCGTTTGCGCTTTTTTCTGTTTGCGCTTTTTTCCGTTTGCGCTTTTTTCCGTTTGCGCTTTTTTCCGTGTGCGCTTTTTTCTCTTTGCGCTTTTTTCCGTTTGCGCTTTTTTCTCTTTGCGCTTTTTTCCGTTTGCGCTTTTTTCTGTTTGCGCTTTTTTCTGTGTGCGCTTTTTTCTGTTTGCGCTTTTTTCTGTGTGCGCTTTTTTCTCTTTGCGCTTTTTTCTGTGTGCGCTTTTTTCTCTTTGCGCTTTTTTCTGTTTGCGCTTTTTTCTGTTTGCGCTTTTTTCCGTTTGCGCTTTTTTCCGTTTGCGCTTTTTTCTGTGTGCGCTTTTTTCTCTTTGCGCTTTTTTCTCTTTGCGCTTTTTTCTTTTTGCGCTTTTTTCTGTGTGCGCTTTTTTCTCTTTGCGCTTTTTTCCGTGTGCGCTTATTTCCGTTGCGCTTTTTGTTTTGCGCTTTTTTCCGTTGCGCTTTTTTCCGTTGCGGTTCTTTCCGGCCACCGATGGCTTTCATAGAAAAAAGTTTTTGGTAAATAACTTGCAAGCTTTGAAACTTTTTAGAAGCTAAAAAGGATGCGGTTTTTGGCAGGTTGAAGAATTCTGACGAGTAACTGTTACAAAATGTTGTCGTGACAAAAGTTTTAATTTATACTAAAATACAAGCTGATTGCTATAAGTGCATAAATAAAAAAAAAAGCCTTAGCGTTTTTAAGTTTTCAAATGGCGGATGATTTTCGGGTTTCCATAACAAACGAAAATGTTTTCAACCCTTCTTATTTTGCTATTTAATACTTATTTTAATAGTATATGGTAAAAATATCCAGAAGACTAGATCTTAAATTGTAAGAAATAAACTGAGCATATCCGTTTAACTAAAGTTTAGGTTCTATATGGTTACGTTTTTAATTACATTTCTGCTTTAAAATATTTACACCACTCGTATTTATAAAAAAAAACTTTTGAAATACGTTATTTAAGATATAATATACTCGTTTAAATGAACAAAAGAGCTATAGAACGCATAAAAACGTGTCACTACAGGAACCGACATCCTTGAAATAGACACATGGAAATTTAAAAAAAAACACTAGCAGTTACCCCTGTTACAATTTGGAAGCCTGAACTCGGTGACTGTGCTTTGAAGGCGTCGATTAGACCAGTAGTAAGTTGTGCGTCAAAACGTATTGGGATGATCAAATCGGAATAACGTTTGGGGCTGATGGTCATCGATTGCAGCTGATCAGGATCGTAGTCATCGCGGCTAAAATCTCCGAGCAGTCCGATGATAATGAGCAGCGACGGCAGCAGCGACTGGGAGAGGGTAAGGAACATGTTACGCTGGAACAGGAGCCACTTCTTCACGAAGATGGCTTTCAGCTGCTGGCACGTGATCACCATTTGGGAATCGATCCTGCATTTCTGGAACATTCTGAAGACATCGTTGGATTCTGTGGGTAGTCCATAAGAAACTTTCACACGGAGTGTTGTTTAAATTTAAAATCTATATACTCAACATATATGTAACTTCTACATATTGCCTCTAATAATTGTACCAACCAGCATTTAAACACTAGTGTATATACTCAACATACAACTTCTACATATTGCCTCTAATAGCTTTACAAACCTGGTTCTTTTTTCACGTTATGCACCACAGTTGTAGATGGATTCCTGCCATTTAAAATGTTTTATTCAGAGACGTTGAGTACACACAGTAGACAGTAAAGAAAACAGTGATATGTAAAACAAATTTTGTGTACATAAAGTAAACACTAAAGCATACGGTTGTGTATAAAAAAGATGTTTTGTAGACAAACACTAAAGCATACGGTTGTGTATAAAAAAGATGTTTTGTAGACAAACACTAAAGCATACGATTGTGTATAAAAAAGATGTTTTGTAGACAAACACTAAAGCATACGGTTGTGTATAAAAAAGATGTTTTGTAGACAAACACTAAAGCATACGGTTGTGTATAAAAAAGATGTTTTGTAGACAAACACTAAAGCATACGGTTGTGTATAACAAGATGTTTTGTAGACAAACACTAAAGCACATTCCGATGTGTTTTTAAAAAAGTAGACTGTATCATTAGCAGGACGGCAACTCACGGTGAAGGGTCAACCTCTGAAACTGCCGGGTCTTCGCCAGACCTGTCCAGAGTTTAAAATCAAATGGCTGAGTTAAGCTTACATTTTGTAAAAATGGCTGAGTTTACTTTACATTTTATTAAAAATGTCTGAGTTAACTGAAACTAACACATTGTAAGGTTTGCTCTAAAAATAGAATTTACTTCTAAAATAACCTTGTTTACTTTGTTTTATGAAATTATTTCACGCAATAAGTACCAACTTTAATAAATAGAATCTTTCTATATTTATTTTTGTCGCATATAAAAAATTGATATTAAAAAAAGGTTTAAGCTGTCTTGAGATATCCATGAAATAATTCATCAAAATGGAAATGTGCTGCACACTTTTATTTTAAAATTATTATTTTTTCTGTTCCTCATTGTTTTAAGTAAATTGCGCTTAAATTGTCACTAGACTTTTTATTAACTTGTTACTTTCTCGTATATACGAAGTATAGAGAAAGTCTTGTAATCGTGCAAAAAAAAAAAATCGAGATTTTTGCAAATCTCGACGTTTTACACCTCACTGATACGGAAAAACATAATTTTGCAATCTTGTCCGTATGTCTGTGTGTCTGTCTGTCTGTCTGTGTGTGTGTCTGTGTGTAAACACGATAACTTGAGTACCGTTACAGCTAGGTTGATGAAATTTCATATATAAGTATTTTATCAAAATCGTAGATCCTTATCAACTTTTTAGCGATTTTCGATAACCGGAAGTGGTACTTTTTCTACTTTGAATTTTTCAAAAGCCTATAACTTGAGTACTATTTCAGATAGATAAATGAAATTTCACGTGTAAGTAATAGATCTAATTCTCTACCTTCTATCAAATTTTGAGTAATTTTCGTTGACCAGAAGTACTAATTTAAGCTATTTCCGATTTCTCAAAAAACGCAAGTAAATTTATAAAGTACTAATAATATTGCGCACTATTATGCACATTTTGTTTCGGCGTTTGTTTGGTGCGCAATGTTTTTTTCTATGAGATTCTATTCTATTTTTAAAAGTTTAAGTAATTAAAAATCATGTCTACATTCCAAGTTATATAAGAATATTCGAGAAAGTTTAGGGGAGATCACTCCCGGTTTATTTTTTAAATGCTTAAACTTGAAAATTATAGTAGAGATTCTCTTTCGACTCTATCCGGGAATTCCCCAAATTTCATTTTTGCGAAGCACCTTTAAAGTCTCGCGTCTAGTAGTTGATATGTCCTTGTGATCATCTAGTTTGATAAAGAAAACATCACAAATGAATGAGACAACACCACATCACAAGTGAATAAGGAGGAACTGGTTTGGCTAGTCACGCAAGCGGCGACAGCAAGACACTTGGTCTAGTTATTACTCTAGTAAGGAACATGTGCTACAATAATATCATTTACTGATCGTTAGCTACCTACAGTATTACAAATAGAAAGTCTGTCGGCTAGACAGAATGTGGGTGGTTAAAACAGGCTGACATACGTAGGCTAATCCCTTAAGATCTGTATAACTCCTTATAGTTATTATTTCTACATCTCATTAGAGCTAACTGTTGGTGACTACCTAGCAAGCAATCAGCTCCTGCTAAAATATTTCTTTGGATTTTAAAATAGTTCTAGATCTAAAAGCCATTTATAATTTAATGAAATCTTTGAATTAAGATACTTCTCGTTTTTAATATCAAATGTTTATAGATCTAGTAACAATTTAAAGTTTTCATATGCCTTACTCTTAGATGACTTAGATATGTTAGATCTATTTTATCATCAATAATCGATCTCTACATTTTAACACAAGGATCGTTCTATATCCCAATACACAACGAGATAGAACCACCATAATACATTAATCCCAAACACTAATCTCGCAATCACTTAATCATCGCTCATTAGACAACTCAAGTCACACCAATTAATCATCAGACACCTCAAATAACATCAATTAATCATCAGACAGCTCAAATCCTATCAATTAATCATCAGACACATCAAATCACATCAATTAATCATCAGACACCTCAAATCACATCAATTAACCATCAGACGCTTCAAATCACATCAATCAATCATCAGACACCTCAATTAACATCAATTAATCATCAGACATCTCAAATCACATCAATTAATCATCAGACACCTCAAATCACATCAATTAACCATCAGACGCTTCAAATCACATCAATTAATCATCAGACACCTCAAATCACATCAATTAACCATCAGACGCTTCAAATCACATCAATCAATCATCAGACACATCAAATCACATCAATTAATCATCAGACACCTCAAATCACATCAATTAACCATCAGACGCTTCAAATCACATCAATCAATCATCAGACACCTCAAATCACATCAATTAATCATCAGACAGCTCAAATCACATCAATTAATCATCATACACCTCAAATCACATCAATTAATCATCAGACACCTCAAATCACATCAATTAATCATCAGACACATCAAATCACATCAATTAATCATCAGACACATCAAATCACATCAATTAATCATCAGACACCTCAAATCACATCAATTAATCATCATACACCTCAAATCACATCAATTAATCATCAGACACCTCAAATCACATCAATTAATCATCAGACTTCTCAAATCACATCAATTAAGCATCAGACACCTCAAATCACATCAATTAATCATCAGACTTCTCAAATCACATCAATTAATAATCAGACACCTCAAATCACATCAATTAATCTTCAGACAGCTCAAATCACATCAATTAATCATCATACACCTCAAATCACATCAATTAATCATCAGACACCTCAAATCACATCAATTAATCATCAGACGCCTCAAATCACATCAATGTTAGATCACCTGTCTTTGTCCTGTAAAGTTTTGCTGACCCCTACCGGATCCTAATCCATTTCATGTTGGAATTTGTTCACACGCCCAACCACATAGAACTGGAAGGAAGAATTCTACTTGACAGAAAGTAGAATTCTACTTGACAGAAAGTAGAATTCTACTTGACAGAAAGTAGAATTCTACTTGACAGAAAGTAGAATTCTACTTAAGAGAAAGTAGAATTCTACTTAACAGAAAGTAGAATTCTACTTGACAGAAAGTAGAATTCTACTTAAGAGAAAGTAGAATTCTACTTAACAGAAAGTAGAATTCTATTTGACAGAAAGTAGAATTCAACTTGACAGAAAGTAGAATTCTACTTGACAGAAACTAGAATTCAACTTGACAGAAAGTAGAATTCTACTTGACAGAAAGTAGAATTCTACTTGACAGAAAGTAGAATTCTACTGGACAGAAACTAGAATTCTACTTAACAGAAAGTAGAATTCTATTTGACAGAAAGTAGAATTCAACTTGACAGAAAGTAGAATTCTACTTGACAGAAAGTAGAATTCTACTGGACAGAAAATAGAATTCAACTTGACAGAAAGTAGAATTCTACTTGACAGAAAGTAGAATTCTAGTTGACAGAAAGTAGAATTCTACTTGACAGGAAGTAGAATTCTACTTGACAGAAAGTAGAATTCTACTTGACAGAAAGTAGAATTCTACTTGACAGAAAGTAGAATTCTACTTAACAGAAAGTAGAATTCTATTTGAAAGAAAGTAGAATTCAACTTGACAGAAAGTAGAATTCTACTTGACAGAAACTAGAATTCAACTTGACAGAAAGTAGAATTATACTTGACAGAAAGTAGAATTCTACTGGACAGAAACTAGAATTCTACTTAACAGAAAGTAGAATTCTATTTGACAGAAAGTAGAATTCAACTTGACAGAAAGTAGAATTCTACATGACAGAAACTAGAATTCAACTTGACAAAAAGTAGAATTCTACTTGACAGAAAGTAGAATTCTACTGGACAGAAAATAGAATTCAACTTGACAGAAAGTAGAATTCTACTTGACAGAAAGTAGAATTCTACTTGACAAAAACTAGAATTCCACTTGACAGAAAGTAGAATTCTACTTGACAGAAACTAGAATTCTACTTAACAGAAAGTAGAATTCTATTTGACAGAAAGTAGAATTCAACTTGACAGAAAGTAGAATTCTACTTGACAGAACTAGAATTCAACTTGACAGAAAGTAGAATTCTACTTGAGAGAAAGTAGAATTCTACTGGACAGAAAATAGAATTCAACTTGACAGAAAGTAGAATTCTACTTGACAGAAAGTAGAATTCTACTTGACAGGAAGTAGAATTCTACTTGACAGAAAGTAGAATTCTACTTGACAGAAAGTAGAATTCTACTTGACAGAAAGTAAGCAAGGATGACGTATCACGCAAAAGGTTTAGGATTTGTAAAGTTTTCATTGTCTCAGATGACTGTAATGAGTTAGATATATTTGTATTATCAATTATCGATATCATATTAAAGTAAATTCGAGTTTAGGAATCACCATACAGGCCATACAGCTTGCTATTGATTGTGAAAGTGTGTAGAATTAGAGTTAATTTGGTGGTAAATGAGAATGGTATGGATCTTTCTTGATTTCATCAATTACGATACTAAAGACTTTTTTCATATGGCTCGAGCGTTGCTATGACACCAGAATAAAGCGAATTCTGGGAAACTGGGAAGTTTTCTTGTTTGTCCCTGCTCTGTTGTTAATCTCGTGACCTCGTTTTCTGGCTTCTGTCTTCTGATTGGACGATTGTTTGAAATACATTCGCTCTAATTTTTTTCCCACGTTTTCTTTAACTTGCTTTCGTCTCTGTTTTTCCAATCAAATCTTGCGATCGAAATTTCTGGCACTTCCCAGTTAGCTAGCGCGCTGAAATTTTCAGGGAAGCTTTGTTTTGGATGACAATAGAATATTCAATTGTTATTATTACTAAATTGATCCATGGAAACATTTTATTGAGCATTTTATACCGCTATATAATTGTAGTAAAAACGTGGGGGAAAAGGGACATCACCCAGTAACTGTAATTTGATGAAAACAAGGTTCGGTACTCTCCCTCTTTGCTTACTGAGTAGTGTTCATGCGGTGTTTGTGTACAAACAACCGTAACAACTGGTGGCCAGTATGGGGGAGACGATATGGTCGAGTGGTTGGGCACACGATTGCTATCCCACTCGACACGGGTTCAAATCTATGTGTTTTAGTCAGTAACGTATTCACACAACGTATTTTTTACGAGTTGTCTTTTTACGAGTTGTCTTCGTTTACCCAAAAAAAGTGAAAAGATAAAATCGATAGCAAGATTTAAATGCAAACAAACAGACAAAGACTAAAAAGTAGAAAATAATCATTAAAAAAGTTTTTAAAAACCAACGTTTTCTGATTGAACTAAAAAGTAGAAAATAAATGCTATACATCACAATAATGCAAGCGATCACTCTACTATAAGCGATCAAAAACGTGGGGCGCCGTCATTTTCTTACAGTTTCTAATACTGTTGACGCTCTACAAGCTACCTAATAAAAGTCAATAGTATTATCTAATCAATAGTAATATCTTTTACTTCGGCGCCCCACGTTTTTCACCGCTTATAGTAGAGTGATCGCTTGAATTATTGTGATGTATAGCATTCAATTTCTACTTTTTAGTTCAATCAGAAAACGTGGGTTTTTAAAAAAAAATTTAATGATTATTATTCTAGATTTTGGTGGGCGACAAATCTGGTTACAAGATGTGAACTCATGGAGAAAATGTTCAAGTTTGTTCTGCTCATCTGCCTTGGTTTTCTACCCGGTATGTGAGTTTCATGTAGTCAGATAGTAAATATGTGGGACAGATTTTATACTGTATGTAAGTGTAGTCAGATACAGAAAATGTAGGACAGATTTTATACTGTAGGAGGTGACATTCATGTTAAACTTAACCCTACCCTAGTTCTAAAGTTTAACTTAACCCTAGTTCTAAAGTTTAACTTAACCCTAGTTCTAAAGTTTAACTTAACCCTAGTTCTAAAGTTTAACTTAACCGTACCCTAGTTCTAAAGTTTAACTTAACCCTAGTTCTAAAGTTAAACTTAACCCTACCCTAGTTCTAAAGTTTAACTTAACCCTAGTTCTAAAGTTTAACTTAACCCTAGTTCTAAAGTTTAACTTAACCCTAGTTCTAAAGTTTAACTTAACCGTACCCTAGTTCTAAAGTTTAACTTAACCCTAGTTCTAAAGTTTAACTTAACCCTAGTTCTAAAGTTTAACTTAACCCTAGTTCTAAAGTTTAACTTAACCCTAGTTCTAAAGTTTAACTTAACCCTAGTTCTAAAGTTAAACTTAACCCTACCCTAGTTCTAAAGTTTAACTTAACCCTAGTTCTAAAGTTTAACTTAACCCTAGTTCTAAAGTTAAACTTAACCTACCCTAGTTCTAAAATTTAACTTAACCCTAGTTCTAAAGTTAACTTAACCCTAATTCTAAAGTTTAACTTAACCCTAGTTCTAAAGTTAAACTTAACCCTACCCTAGTTCTAAAGTTTAACTTAACCCTAGTTCTAAAGTTAAACTTAACCCTTTTTCTAAAGTTTAACTTAACCCTAGTTCTAAAGTTAAACTTAACCTTAGTTCTAAAGTTTAACTTAACCCTAGTTCTAAAGTTTAACTTAACCCTAGTTCTAAAGTTAAACTTAAACCTACCCTAGTTCTAAAGTTTAACTTAACCCTAGTTCTAAAGTTTAACTTAACCCTAGTTCGAAAGTTAAACTTAACCCTACCCTAGTTCTGAAGTTTAATTTAACCCTAGTTCTAAAGTTTAACTTAACCCTACCCTAGTTCTAAAGTTTAATTAACCCTAGTTCTAAAGTTTAACTTAACCGTAGTTCTAAAGCTTAACTTAATCCTAGTTCTAAAGTTTAACTTAACCCTACCTTAGTTCTAAAGTTTAATTAACCCTAGTTCTAAAGTTTAACTTAACCCTAGTTCTAAAGCTTAACTTAATCCTAGTTCTAAAGTTAAAGTTAAACCTACCCTAGTTCTAAAATTAAACTTAACCCTACCCTAGTTCTAAAGTTTAACTTAACCCTAGTTCTAAAGTTTAACTTAACCCTAGTTCTAAAGTTTAACTTAACCGTACCCTAGTTCTAAAGTTTAACTTAACCCTAGTTCTAAAGTTTAACTTAACCGTACCCTAGTTCTAAAGTTTAACTTAACCCTAGTTCTAAAGTTTAACTTAACCCTAGTTCTAAAGTTTAACTTAACCCTAGTTCTAAAGTTAAACTTAACCCTACCCTAGTTCTAAAGTTTAACTTAACCCTAGTTCTAAAGTTTAACTTAACCCTAGTTCTAAAGTTAAACTTAACCTACCCTAGTTCTAAAATTTAACTTAACCCTAGTTCTAAAGTTAACTTAACCCTAGTTCTAAAGTTTAACTTAACCCTAGTTCTAAAGTTAAACTTAACCCTACCCTAGTTCTAAAGTTTAACTTAACCCTAGTTCTAAAGTTTAACTTAACCCTTTTTCTAAAGTTTAACTTAACCCTAGTTCTAAAGTTAAACTTAACCTTAGTTCTAAAGTTTAACTTAACCCTAGTTCTAAAGGTTAACTTAACCCTAGTTCTAAAGTTAAACTTACCCCTAGTTCTAAAGGTTAACTTAACCCTAGTTCTAAAGTTTAACTTAACCTTAGTTCGAAAGTTAAACTTAACCCTACCCTAGTTCTAAAGTTTAACTTAACCCTAGTTCTAAAGTTTACTTAACCCTACCCTAGTTCTAAAGTTTAATTAACCCTAGTTCTAAAGTTTAACTTAACCCTAGTTCTAAAGCTTAACTTAATCCTAGTTCTAAAGTTTAACTTAACCCTACCTTAGTTCTAAAGTTTAATTAACCCTAGTTCTAAAGTTTAACTTAATCCTAGTTCTAAAGCTTAACTTAATCCTAGTTCTAAAGTTAAACTTAAACCTACCCTAGTTCTAAAATTAAACTTAACCCTACCCTAGTTCTAAAGTTTAACTTAACCCTAGTTCTAAAGTTTAACTTAACCCTAGTTCTAAAGTTTAACTTAACCCTAGTTCTAAAGTTAAACTTAACCCTACCCTAGTTCTAAACTTTAACTTAACCCTAGTTCTAAAGTTTAACTTAACACTAGTTCTAAAGTTTAACTTAATCCTAGTTCTAAAGTTTAACTTAACACTAGTTCTAAAGTTTAACTTAACCCTACCCTAGTTCTAAAAATAAACTTAACCCTACCCTAGTTCTAAAGTTAAACTTAACCTTAGTTCTGGTTTTAGCCCCTAAGTTTACTTTGAATTAGCACAAGGTTATCTCATGTTATTTGACTTGGCACCAGGTTATCTCATGTTATTTGACTTGGCACCAGGTTATCTCATGTTATTTGACATGGCACAAGGTTATCTCATGTTATTTGACTTGGCACCAGGTTATCTCATGTTATTTGACTTGGCACAAGTTTATCTTTTGTTATTTGACTTGGCACTAGGTTATCTCATGTTATTTGACATGGCACAAGTTTATCTCATGTTATTTGACTTGGCACCAGGTTATCTCATGTTATTTGACTTGGCACAAGTTTATCTTTTGTTATTTGACTTGGCACTAGGTTATCTCATGTTATTTGACTTGGCACCAGGTTATCTTTTGTTATTTGACTTGGCACCAGGTTATCTCATGTTATTTGACTTGGCACCAGGTTATCTCATGTTATTTGACTTGGCACCAGGTTATCTCATGTTATTTGACTTGGCACCAGGTTATCTCATGTTATTTGACTTGGCACAAGGTTATCTCATGTTATTTGACATGGCACAAGGTTATCTCATGTTATTTGACTTGGCACCAGGTTATCTCATGTTATTTGACTTGGCACCAGGTTATCTCATGTTATTTGACTTGGCACAAGTTTATCTTTTGTTATTTGACTTGGCACTAGGTTATCTCATGTTATTTGACTTGGCACCAGGTTATCTCATGTTATTTGACTTGGCACAAGTTTATCTTTTGTTATTTGACTTGGCACTAGGTTATCTCATGTTATTTGACATGGCACAAGGTTATCTCATGTTATTGCTTGCACAGATGGCGTGCTTGCTATCGACTCCGTGGTGCTGAGTATCGACGGTTATGAGAAGGAATGTGAGCAGCCTGAGTGCAAGTATACAGGATTTATAATTGGATCGTTTGAAGACAGAGCTGTGGGCGAACAAGGCAGATGCACCTATGTAACCTTGTCTCAGTGTGAATCTGGCACAGACTGCCAGCAAGATGACCAATGGCAAGAGGTAAATCTTAGCTAATTACATTCCTAATTGGCATGTTTGGTAAACATGTTGCTTATACAATTACCGACAGTTAGTAACATAGCATGCTTTTTTTTATCTAGATCAGGGGTCTCCAAACTTTTCAGTCCGAGGGCCGCATTAACTATCAAATTTCAGTTCGGGGGCCAGTTTCTTCCATGCATGTTTTTGATTTTTCTGCGCAAAATTCCTCAGCCATCACCAACAAACGATTTTTCCTTGGACAAAAAAATCTCCGCGGGCCGGATGTTTGGAGACCCCTGATCTAGATCAATAACCGTAACCCTACCTAATTGTTTTGTAACATAACCCCTAGCTAGATAAATAACCGAAACCCTAAACTAATATTTTGTATTATGACCCCCGCCCCAAGCTAGGCAGCAAGCTTTCACGTAGACCCCGCCCCTAGCTAGGCAGCAAGCTTTCATGTAGACCCCCGCCCCTAGCTAGACAGTAAGATTTCACGTAGACCCCCACCCCTAGCTAGGCAGCAAGATTTCACGTAGACCCCCCCACCACCCATCACTCCCCAGGTGTGTGCTCCATTCGCCTACCCCTGCCAGATGTCAGCCTGTGGTAATATGGAACGCAATTACCCCCAGTGCTACTGCTCGTCGGAGCACCCCGTCAAGATCTGGTTCTCCCCCACTAAGGAGCAACTAGAGAAGAACCTCACGTATCGACTGGGTGCCAGGGTGCTGGAGAATGGCGAGCAAGTCAGTGCAGGCTTTAGCAAAGCTATTGACTATGCTGAGAAACCTGGTATGGAATACGCGATACTTTAAGATGTATATATATATATATATATATATATATATATATATATATATATATATATATATATATATATATATATATATATATATATATATATATATATATATATATATATATATATATTTATATATATATATATATATATATATATATATATATATATATATATATATATATATATATATATATATATATATATATATATATATATATATATGTGTGTGTGTGTGTGTTTATGTGTAATATAGGCGGTAGGGGGGATGCATAGATTTTGGCTACTTTATTATTGTTATTTCATACCTTGATCATATTATCTCAACAACTTCTTGTGATCTAAACTTGAGCCCATACACTAGCAACGTTGATGTTTTTCTCACTGGTACTAGAATACGTTGGTTGTGAAAGCGAACAGTGCCATGGTTGCTATCTGACAGCAACTGTGTGAAAAACAACGGTGCTCCCATATGGCTTATGAGTTCAAACATTTTTCTATGCAAGTTGCTTGTGATTGTTGAACAACACATCCTTTGGTGTTCTATCTGAAATCATGTTGTTCATAACAATATGCTAGTCTAGTGAGCAAACCAAGTTATGTACGCAATGGATAATTTAATAGTGATCGATTGATTGATAACTCGTGTGATTGATTGATCGATAACGCGTGTGATCGATTTATTGATTTAAAACTCGTGTGATTGATTGATTGATAACTCGAGTGATTGATTGATTGATTGATAACTCGAGTGATTGATTAATCAATAACGCGTGTGATTGATTGATTGATCGATAAGACAGACAGACAGACCGACAGACAGACACCCGGCAGACGACACTAACAGCAAGTGTAACAAGAGAAGGTTTGAACTCTGTATAAATATACATCATTAAAATTGTATCAACAGAGGGTTTTGTTCCTATAGTCTCTCTTGGTCCTGAATATTCTCGAAGGAAGTTTCACAATGGATCGAATCAGTTGCGTTTTGGTAGGTATTTGATTGGCTACAAGTTGGTAGGTAGATAGGTGATTGTGGTGGCTGTGGTTGGTAGGTAGGTGATTGTGTTTGCTGTGGTTGGTAGGTAGGTGATTGTGTTTGCTGTGGTTGGTAGGTAGGTGATTGTGTTGGCTTAAGTTGGTAGGTAGATAGGTGATTGTCTTGGCTGTGGTAGGTAGGTAGGTGGTTGTGTTGGCTGTGGTAGGTAGGTAGGTAGGTGGTTGTGTTGGCTGTGGTAGGTAGGTAGGTAGGTGGTTGTGTTGGCTGTGGTAGGTAGGTAGGTAGGTGGTTGTGTTGGCTGTGGTAGGTAGGTAGGTAGGTGATTGTGTTGGCTGTGGTTGGTAGGTTGTTGATTGTGTTGGCTTAAGTTGGTAGGTAGGTGGTTGTGTTGGCTGTGGTAGGTAGGTAGGTAGGTGGTTGTGTTGGCTGTGGTAGGTAGGTAGGTAGGTGGTTGTGTTGGCTGTGGTAGGTAGGTAGGTAGGTGGTTGTGTTGGCTGTGGTAGGTAGGTAGGTAGGTGATTGTGTTGGCTGTGGTTGGTAGGTTGTTGATTGTGTTGGCTTAAGTTGGTAGGTTGTTGATTGTGTTGGCTTAAGTTGGTAGGTTGTTGATTGTGTTGGCTGTGGTTGGTAGGTTGTTGATTGTGTTGGCTTAAGTTGGTAGGTTGTTGATTGTGTTGGCTGTGGTTGGTAGGTTGTTGATTGTGTTGGCTTAAGTTGGTAGGTTGTTGATTGTGTTGGCTTAAGTTGGTAGGTAGGTGATTGTGTTGGCTGTGGTTGGTAGGTTGTTGATTGTGTTGGCTTAAGTTGGTAGGTTGTTGATTGTGTTGGCTTAAGTTGGTAGGTAGATGATTGTGTTGGCTGAAGTTCTAAATTGAAGATGGCTAAATTTTTGTTTGTGTTATGAAGTACTAAATACATGCATGAAGTAAACTTTATGTAAATTCTGTTTTACATGTCTTATGTATTTAGATTTGAACGAATTCATTAAGTGACAACATTGATTGTTGCACTTCACAAATTGAAAGAAGAGTTAGTGTTCAGTTTTTTAGCATAAAGTAGATCTTATCCGTTACATCAGGGGTTCCCAACCTTTTTTTTACTCTAGAGCACATTCTAAAATATCGGTAGGGTGGAGGGCACCACCTATTTTAAATTGACAAACTCCTTCCAGAGGCGTAGCGACCCTTCCCGTCATCCGGGGACAAAACTTTCGATTTGCACCCCCCTCAAACTTTCGATTTGCACCCCCCCCCCCCTTCAAACTTTCGATTTGCACACCCCCCCCCCCTCAAATTTTCGATTTGCACCCCCCCCTCTCAAACTTTCGATCCCCTTCAACCTTTCAATAATGTTTATGAAAAAAATTATGTCTTATGTCTCTGTCGAATAGTGAGAGGCGGGCACATACGAATCGTTCGGCGGGCGCCATGGCGCCCGCGGGCACGGGGTTGGGAACCCCTGCGTTACATGATATATCTCAACTAATTTTACTTAAAAACTCTCTTGCAATTGCTATACTGATATTAGATGGATTGATTTCTGTTTTAATGCTGCTGATTGGTATACGTCTCACACAGATCTGACGCTGGTTAGTGCTGAAGTACTACTCGCAGTCTACCGGGCCAAGCAAATCTTTTCTTAGATGTTTTTTAATGGAGAAAACTTCCAACTACTGGTTGATGATGATTCGGTTGATGAATAGTTCGAAAAGAGTTTCTGGCAGTCGTTAAATAAATATAAGTAATACAAAATATTTTTTATGTAAAGTTATATTTTGCAATTTGTTACGTTAATCTAATTAATAATTTAATTAGGAACTCAAAATTTCTTTATATTAGTTATTAATTACTGAATTGGAAAACATGGAGTAGTGTAATTAATATTGAGAAATTTTCTTCATTACGTCACACCTTCAATGTTAGATTCTTTTGAATCTAGAGATCGTAATTAGAATCTAATTAAAATTAATCTTAAGTTTGTCAGAGTTTTGTGTTTTTCTGTCCCTGGCACTCATCATATTGGCATACCTCGTTACTTTCTGGTACATGAGGGTTTTTTTAAATCTAGTGTTACGGCGTTAGACCTGTTTCATACCTCGTTACTTTCTGGTACATGATGTGTTTTTTTTAAATCTAGTGTTTCGGCGTTAGACCTGTTTCATACCTCGTTACTTTCTGGTACATGAGGTTTTTTTAAATCTAGTGTTACGGCGTTAGACCTGTTTCATACCTCGTTACTTTCTGGTACATGATGTGTTTTTTTTAAATCTAGTGTTTCGGCGTTAGACCTGTTTCATACCTCGTTACTTTCTGGTACATGAGGGTTTTTTAAATCTAGTGTTACGGCGTTAGACCTGTTTCATACCTCGTTACTTTCTGGTACATGATGTGTTTTTTTTAAATCTAGTGTTACGGCGTTAGACCTGTTTCATACCTCGTTACTTTCTGGTACATGAGGGTTTTTTAAATCTAGTGTTACGGCGTTAGACCTGTTTCATACCTCGTTACTTTCTGGTACATGAGGGTTTTTTAAATCTAGTGTTTCGGCGTTAGACCTGTTTCATACCTCGTTACTTTCTGGTACATGAGGGTTTTTTTTAAATCTAGTGTTACGGCGTTAGACCTGTTTCATATATGGAAATTTGTTCTTTAGGAAATAGATTCGCATTAATATATAAAATATTTAAATGTTCCCTAAATTTGTAGTTTTATCTAAAGATTGCCAAATAAGGTCAATGATTAAATGTGTTAATAAGTTTTACCAATTCCATGTTGCACAAAAACTAATTGCAAATGTTGCCTCTAATTAAGAGATGTCATTTCTTTATGTAATACAACAACCAATTGGAACAGTTACCATCTTGTGAAGATTTATTCGATTTGTCTCAACTTTTCTAACAACGAATCAAATGTTAAATAAACACATCAAATGCTAAATAACACATCGAATGCTAAATAAACACATAGATATGCAAACAGAACGTCCATGTTTTCTCTGTGTGAGTGGTCATCATGTGAACGTGTTTTCTCTGTGTGAGTGGTGGTCATGTGAACGTGTTTTCTCTGTATGAGTGGTGGTCATGTGAACGTGTTTTCTCTGTATGAGTGGTGGTCATGTGAACGTGTTTTCTCTGTATGAGTGGTGATTATGTGAACGTGTTTTCTCTGTGTGAGTGGTGGTCATGTGATCGTGTTTTCTCTGTATGAGTGGTGGTCATGTGAACGTGTTTTCTCTGTATGAGCAACGAGTAGGGTGAGACCATTACAGCTAAACTTACAGCCACAAGTAGGGGGAGACCTTGGTCTTCGTCTTCCGCTCCTCAACAATGGCCGAGGCGGTGAAGCTGAAGATGCCGATAAACATCATAGGATAGATCAAGGTGTAGTCCAAGAACAAGTCGCGCACCAGCAGGTGGTCAAGCTCGCTTAAAATATAAAATATTTGAAATAAATCTGCTAGTTTATAATATGAGCAGAATAGACAATGCACTGCAAAAATGTTGGGCTATGGGGGTTGCGTATGATGTTGACATTTTGATACAGTTTTTTTCTTCATTTGAAAAAATCCATCGGTGGTTATTACATGACAACAAAAGCGTCTTTGTACAGATACACTTTCTTCATGCGACCTCCGGAAATTCCCGAAATCTCGAGCCAAATAGTTTTTCATTCAACACAACAGACCGCACAAGTGACATGTATTTACGCTATCATGGTGCATGCAGTCCGAGAAACAAAACATTACAATTCAGGGATAAAAGCATCATAAATCAAGATAAAACATCATAATATTATAACTATCGAAGAAGGCACAACTGGTTAGGTAAACTACTTAATTAACCACGAATGCTGGATTCTTGAAACTCAGTTGCTAAAATACTATTTTAAAAACACTTAACCCAACAAACTTAATCCCTAATTATTATTAAATCTATCAAAACTTATAAAACCCACACTTAAACTAAACCAATAATACAACATCATTTAATCTCTAGCACTGGAAGTATATGACATAATCATCTATATACTACTAAAACTCAAGTTTGTTTACATGTTTGAATATTTATTTGTTTGTTTGCCTGATTGACTACTGTAGAGGATCTACGCTATATGGAGAACTGTAAAATAGTATGTAGGTAGAGAACAATTTTTGTTTTCAGACAGACTGTTAATCACAAATTTATTTAAAGACGTTAATTAATTTTTTCATTGGTAGATTAACCACATTAATTTTAATTTTTTTCAAACAAAGACTTTACCTTGACTGAATAGTGCGTCACAAGTTTTGTTTACTTTTTAGTACACTAAGATGGTGGCTTCCATCATAGACTTTAACGCGTTCTAAAGCTAATTTTCTGTCGGCCATAACTTTAACAATAAGTCCGTTTGCTGTTTTTATTAAGTTCCAACACTTATATAAATTTTCAAATGTCTTTTTCATTTAGTTTTACAATAAATTTCTCTAGCTCTACAATCTGTCCCAGAAAGCTATTTATAGATCTAAAAATATCAGGTGGCCGAGAAAGTTATTTATAGATCTAGATCAAGAATCTAGGTAAAACCAAAGATTAATTAGATACATACCAAAGATTAATTAGATAAAAATACAATCCATTTTATAATCATAATACATTTTTAGTCCTTAAATACTTGATATAAATCTTTGTGATTTATCTATCCAGATCTAGATCTATCTAGCTAGAATAGGTCTAATGATTAGATCTATATTCTAGATCTAGCAAGAGTTACACAAAAACTAGACTCTAGACTTAAGACTTAAATTAAGCAAACGAGTCGTAGAATCTAGATCTAGATAATTCTACCTAGATCTAGATAATTTCAGACTTTCATTATTTTATATAAATCTTTGCTTAGCTATATAATTGGCTAATTTAAGATAAAATTTAATTTGAAAGTTACTACTCTAGACTTAGATCTAGATCTATGCGCGTAAATCAAGTTGCATAAGGAGACTCAAAGTATTAAACTATATTATAAAAAAAACATCAGTGACATCACGAGTTAAATAGCTAAGTTGTGAGTGTAATCGGCTGGCATGCGGGTGGCACCGGTTCTAGACCAAAACGTTAATGTTAATTTTTTTTTTTCATTTTTTTTTTATTTTTTTATGTGAATGATTAAGTTGCCTATCTGAACTTGGCGGGATACAGAGCAGGTGAAGTAGAGTTAATCTGTTTCTTTGTCCTAAGCATATACAGGGATAATTCGGTCAGAGACATGCTCGGCTGAAATCGTTTTTTTTTTATACGATAAAAAAGGTTGTCTGAGACTTGGCGGCTGAAATAGAGTTGAGTAGGTCACCTGTGACGTCAGTATATGAAGGGATAGTCCGAAATCGGTGTTTTCAGTGTTTTTAAAAGATAAAAAACATCTTTTTTAATGTAGGGTCTGGATTTTTGGGACGATAAGTGACAGACGTTATGTTTTTTATGGATGACCCTCGAAACTCACAGCTATCTAACTAGATAACGGGTAGTCTAGTTATATATTTAAAGCAAAACTGTTAATCATCAGACAGGTAAATCACATCACTTAATCCAATCTTAACGCTAATCCCTATATTAACCTAACACCGCTTATATACTAACAGCATGTACATCATTGGCCCACCATGCTAGAGGAATAAATCTATAGGCCCACCATGCTAGAGGAATAAATCTATAGGCCCACCATGCTAGATGAATAAATCTATAGACCCACCATGCTAGAGGAATAGATATATAGGCCCAACATGCTAGAGGATTAAATCTATAGGCCCACCATGCTAGAGGAATAAATCTATAGGCCCACCATGTTAGAGGAATAAATCTATAGGCCCACCATGCTAGAGGAATAGATCTATAGGCCCACCATGCTAGAGGATTAAATCTATAGGCCCACCATGCTAGAGGAATAGATCTATAGGCCCACCATGTTAGAGGAATAAATCTATAGGCCCACCATGCTAGAGGAATAGATCTATAGGCCCACCATGCTAGAGGATTAAATCTATAGGCCCACCATGCTAGAGGAATAAATCTATAGGCCCACCATGCTAGAGGATTAAATCTATAGGCCCACCATGCTAGATGAATAAACATATAGGCTCACCATGCTAGAGGAATAAATCTATAGGCCCACCATGCTAGAGGATTAAATCTATAGGCCCACCATGCTAGAGGAATAAATCTATAGGCCCACCATGCTAGAGGATTAAATCTATAGGCCCACCATGCTAGAGGAATAAATCTATAGGCCCACCATGCTAGAGGATTAAATCTATAGGCCCACCATGCTAGAGAAATAAATCTATAGGCCCACCATGCTAGAGGATTAAATCTATAGGCCCACCATGCTAGAGGAATAAATCTATAGGCCCACCATGCTAGAGGATTAAATCTATAGGCCCACCATGCTAGATGAATAAACATATAGGCTCACAATGCTAGATAAATAAATCTATAGGCCCACAATGCTAGAGGAATAAATCTATAGGCCCACCATGCTATAGGAATAAATCTATAGACCCACCATGCTAGAGGAATAAATCTATAGGCCCACCATGCTAGAGGATTAAATCTATAGGCCCACCATGCTAGAGGAATAAATCTATAGGCCCACCATGCTAGAGGAATAAATCTATAGGCCCACCATGCTAGAGGAATAAATCTATAGGCCCACCATGCTAGAGAAATAAATCTATAGGCCCACCATGCTAGAAGAATAAATCTATAGGCCCACCATGCTAGAGAAATAAATCTATAGGCCCACCATGCTAGAGGATTAAATCTATAGGCCCACCATGCTAGAAAAATAAATCTATAGGCCCACCATGCTAGAGGAATAAATCTATAGGCCCACCATGCTAGAGGAATAAATCTATAGGCCCACCATGCTAGAGAAATAAATCTATAGGCCCACCATGCTAGAGAAATAAATCTATAGGCCCACCATGCTAGAGGAATAAATAGATAGGCCCACCATGCCAGAGGAATAAATCTATAGGCCCACCATACTGGATATAGTGCTGACTACAGTGTGAACCAAATTAAAACTTAAATTCTTTGCTATAATTTTCTAGATTTTGGTAGGCGACAACTCTGGTTACAAGACGTGAACTCATGGAGAAAATGTTCAAGTTTGTTCTGCTCATCTGCCTTGGTTTTCTACCCGGTATGTGAGTTTCATGTAGTCAGATAGTGAATATGTGGGACAGATTTTATACTGTATGTAAGTGTAGTCAGATACAGAAAATGTAGGACAGATTTTATACTGTATGTAAGTGTACTCAGATACAGAAAATGTAGGACAGATTTTATACTGTATGTAAGTGTACTCAGATACAGAAAATGTAGGACAGATTTTATACTGTATGTAAGTGTAGTCAGATACAGAAAATTTATAACAGTGACTTACATTCAGAAAAAAATATAGTCAGAATAAAAGGCTGATATCACAATTTATATAGCTGATGTTCTTTTTAAACTTAACCGAAATCTGACAGAAGCTCCAACGCTAAACTAGACAACGATTTAACTACTAAAGTTAAACATAACAATATTCATACACTAAAGTTAAACATAACAATATTCCTACACTAAACTTAAACATAACAATATTCTTACAATAAATTTAAACTGAGAAGTAGTCTAGACCTGATCCGTTACGATAAACCTCGCCATAATTCTAGCCCAGCCCTATAAGTTAAACCTCGCCATAATTCTAGCCCAGCCCTAAAAGTTAAACCTTGCCATAATTCTAGCCCAGCGCTATAAGTTAAACCTCGCCATAATTCTAGCCCAGCACTAAAAGTTAAACCTTGCCATAATTCTAGCCCAGCCCTAAAAGTTAAACCTTGCCATAATTCTAGCCCAGCCCTAAAAGTTAAACCTCGCCATAATTCTAGCCCAGCCCTAAAAGTTAAACCTTGCCATAATTCTAGCCCAGCCCCATAAGTATTTGATGTTGTTTTACACAGATGTCGTCAGTAGCATTGGTTTCCTTGAACTGGGTATTTGATGTTGTTTTACACAGATGTCGTCAGTAGCGTTGGTTTCCTTGAACTGGGTATTTGATGTTGTTTTACACAGATGTCGTCAGTAGCGTTGGTTTTCTTGAACTGGGTATTTGATGTTGTTTTACACAGATGTCGTCAGTAGCATTGGTTTCCTTGAACTGGGTATTGTCGGCTATGAGAAACAATGCACGAACGACGCCAACTGTAAGAACACTGGCTTAGTGATTGGGACGTTTAAAGACAGAGCTGCGAGCAAAGAGGGCAGGTGCACCCACGTCACTTTGCTTCAATGTGATCCAAGTGCGGACTGTAGCCAATCGTCATCATGGCAAGAGGTGGGTAGCCATTTGTGACATTTCTAATTGGCGTGTTTGTGACATTTCTAGTTGGCGTGTTTGTGTCTTTTCTACTTGGCGTGTTTGTGATATTTCTAGTTGGCGTGTTTGTGACATTTCTAGTTGGCGTGTTTGTGAAATCTCTAGTTGGCGTGTTTGTGACATTTCTAGTTGGCGTGTTTGTGACATTTCTAGTTGGCGTGTTTGTGACATTTCTAGTTGCCGTGTTTGTGACATTCCTAGCTAGCGTGTTTGTGACATTTCTAGTTGACGTGTTTGTGACATTTTTAGTTTGCATGTTTGTGACATTTCTAGTGTGCCTGTTTGTGACATTTCTAGTTGGCGTTTTTGTGACATTTCTAGTTGGCGTGTTTGTGACATTTCTAGTTGGCGTGTTTGTGACATTTCTAGCTAGCGTGTTTGTGATATTTCTAGTTGGCGTGTTTGTGACATTTCTTGTTGGCGTGTTTGTGACATTTCTAGTTGGCGTGTTTGTAAGATTTCTAGTTGGCGTGTACGTGACATTTCTAGTTGGCGTGTTTGTGACATTTCTAGTTGGCGTGTTTGTGACATTTCTAGTTGGCGTGTTTGTGAGATTTCTAGTTGGCGTGTTTGTGACATTTCTAGCTAGCGTGTTTGTGACATTTCTAGTTGGCGTGTTTTGTACATTTCTAGTTGGCGTGTTTGTGAAATTTTTAGTTTTTGTGTTTGTGACATTTTAGCTAGCGTGTTTGTGACATTTCTAGTTAGCGTGTTTGTGACATTTCTAGTTGGCGTGTTTGTGACATTTCTAGTTGGCGTGTTTGTGACATTTCTAGTTGGCGTGTTTGTGACATTTCTAGTTGGCGTGTTTGTGACATTTCTAGTTGGCGTGTTTAGCTAATGCTTTGTGTCGCCACAGACGTGCCAACTGTTCGGGTACCCCTGCCAGATGCGCACCTGTGGGAACAGCACACATAACCAGGGGAAGTGCTACTGCTCCACCGGCAACCCCATTATGATCTGGTTCGCTGCAAGTCCCACCATGGAATATCGTCTGAATGCCAAACTCCTGGAGCACAATCAAGAGTTGGGACAAGTGGACAGCAACGTCTTTGGTCATGTTGGTATGGAACAGTTAGCATTGTCTTACGTATTAAATAGAGCATTGGGTAAATATGGGGGTTATGTTAAGGGTTATATTTTGATTAAAAGCAGTTTTTTGACTGCTTAATTATCAGGATCTGTTAAACGAGGCCATCCTCACAGAGGCCAGTAGTACTGATTGATTCAGTTGTCAGGAGTTTTTACTTGACTCAATTGTCAGGAGTTTCTACTTGATTCAATTGTCAGGAGTTTCTACTTGATTCAATTGTCATGAGTTTCTAATCATAGATTAAGGACATGGTGGACTACTAGCGTGGACAAACCTGCCCCAACAACAAAGATCCACTAAATATAGCGCCCACAGTTTTTACCTTTCAATAACTCTTTAAAACAAAAACAATTAAGTCACTCGTCTTCAAATAGTTATATGTAATTTTATCATTATTATTAAATCAAGAGGAAAAAAATATTATTAATAGCAGTTAATTAATATACATTTTAATTTCAAACTCTTATTTTAAGAATGTAATTTTATTGTTACGTGAATTTCATTTTTAAAAAGCTATTTTGTGGTCTAGGGGAAACAAACCTGAGAATATTATCCTTCGGAGTTTAGCCAGTGTTACCTATCTCTGAGATAAATCAATGATATTAATTTAAATATTACCACGTATTACTATATACATGTATCCATATTTATATTTATTAATATTACGATTTATTTACGGAATCATATTTAATATTATTAACAATTTTTATTCAATATAAAGCGGGGTTTAGATCACTCTTCTCTTTGCCTCTACACATTTACCTGGGTGTCAAGCAATATATTAGAACAATAAATATTTTAATGACAGTAGTCAATGCCCGATGTATTCAGAGAATTCCATATATCTTGTTGAGAAAGTTTTATAAATAGATGTAACCATGCCCATGACATTGTGAGACTGAAATGTCTCGTATCATTTTTCTCAGATCATCCGTGACATCAAGGGTAGCCTGCAGTTTTAGTATGTGCTGATTCTAAGTGTTTTGTGTACACAAACACACACACACACACACACACACATATATATATATATATATATATATATATATATATATATATATATATATATATATATATATATATATATACATATATATATATATATATGTGTGTGTGTGTGTTTGCGATGTTCTATCAACAGATGATCCTGAATATTCTCGAAGTCTCAGTGGATCGAATCAGTTGCGTTTTGGTATGTCCACAACGATTTTTTAAAATGTATTTCCGGTTGTGTGAGCTAGGTGGGTTACACTGTTGGCTAACCTTGCTTTCTACTGGCCGGGAAGTTTAAATAAAAGAATATTATGTACATTTTAAAGTAGATGTGATAGTAGGTACATGATATTGTCGAACTAGTTTTATACTTAAAATGTCTATTTTGTATTTATTTTAATGATTTGTATTAGACAGATTTAGTTTCAATATGGACTTGCAATAATTTGAGGCTGTTTATTCCAGATCTGGAACTGGTTGTTGCTAGTGTACTAGCCGCATCCTACCTGGCCAAGCCAATCTGTACTTAAATGATCTGCAGTGGAGAAGATTCTCTAGCCGTCGATTGATTGGGGGAAACATTGCCATCGATCGTTTGATAATTCCATGAATCGGGAGCAACAAATGTTTTAAAGGTTCACCTTGGAACTCAATGTTTAATGTAAATAGAAATAAATAATTGAATTTGTTACCTAAAACGGACTATGCCTTAGCCTGCCAGTTATTCTGTACATAACTAGAAAAAAGTAGAAATTATTTAATAGGCGAGAAATGGTCGTTAGTTTTGTGTGATCGTTAGTTTTGTGTGATCCACCTTCATTGTTAGATTCGTTTTACTTCGCTAGTCCGTTATTTCATAAAAATTAATCTAAACGTCTTGTTTTAAACAAAATTAGCCTAAAAGTTTTGTTTTTCTCCTGTCAATAAATATTTAACTTAGCATTTTTCTTATAACCCTCATTAGGATTAAAATCTTAGCGATTATTAGGTAGGCCTATGATTGATTTTTCTTTGAGTTAAATTGCTTCAGAAAAGCTTCTTGATTTTTTTATAAATGTGTCATATATTCCAATGCAACAGCAAGGCATCGTACCATTTGTGGTTTCTGTTTCCCGTGTATACACCTTGTTTGTTCTTAAGTAAATTCCCTCATGCACCTGATTGTTTCTAAAATGTCGGCCTTCCAGTGGCGGAGGTCTTGAGATAATTTTAGCATCACTGTGTCTTACGATCATGTAGTTTTAGCCAATAAAATGAATGGTATCTGTTTCTCTTTGTAAACCTCCAATTATTTTTTATCAGCCTAAAATTTGTTTCTCTTTGAAAGTGAACGTTGTTTTGCTTTGTTTTTTTATTGTCTAGTTTTTTTTTATTTTTTAGCGCAATTTCCATTATGGAGAATTACGTTTATTAACTCGTCATTTCTGGGAATGGATGGATGGATGGATGGATGGATGTGTGTCCGCAGCTTTAAGTCGTCTTTAAGTCGTATCTCCTCCTCAACGAAGCAATATCGAGGACTAGTTCCAAAAGCAAATATGTTAAGCAAGTTCCGAGGATGAACATAGGACAAAAAATTCCCGGAATTCCTTCCTGGATTTCCCGGAAAAGCCAAAAAACCTCGAAAAATGCAGTTTTTGGCCTATATCTCGGCCACCAGACCACTTAGCAACTTGAAACATTTACCAATCGGTTCCTGCTATAATTTAGAATAATATGGCCCAGAAAGTTTTGAAAAATATCCTTTCCTTCGGCCACAAAAAATTAATTAAGAATTTTTAAACAGAGCATCGTGTAGGCCTAGGATGATTTACCATAGAGAAAGAGCGGAGGTTCGAAAGGATTTTTTCTATTTTGTTTTGAATTATTGAAACTACTTGTGTTGCATTATTTATTTGCTGAATATATGATTTATCTCGATTTACAATTGTTATGGATAACATGAGGAAATTGCGCTTAAATTGTCACTAGACTTTTTATTAACTTGTTTTAAGGTTTGCTTGTTTTTCTAGATTGGCAGGCATTTTTTTTTGTAAGATTGTGATCTATTATTTTATGTTTAATTATGAAAATTGATTTTTTTTTTCAAGATTGTGAATTTCAAATTCTCTTTAAAAAATTTACTTTCGAGGTTGGGAACTTTCAATTCCTTTTGAATTTGAATTATTTCAAGTTCGTAAAATTTATATTTTTAAATTGGAATTTTTTTTTGTGTGCAAAAATGTAAATTTTCTTATAAATTTAAAAGTTTTTATTTTAGATGCTGGTCTATCATTTCTTTTAAAAAAAATTTAAGTTTTTTTTTTCAGGGTTGTAAAATTTCAAATCTTTTTTAAATTGAAGATTTGTCTTAAGATTACCTATTTAAGCGTTGTTCAGGTTTGGGGGTTGTTTTTAAATTGTGATCTTTGATTTCTTTAGTATATTTAAAAGTTAATTTCAAGATTTTTAACTTCATTTATTTTTCCAATTTTTTTTTTCAAAGATAGTAAAAAAAGTTAAATAAATAGTCTTCGATTTTATTTTTCAATTT